TCACCAGTTGACGTGTATTGGACGCTTGGCATGATTTGTTTACTTTTGAACTTTGGTAAAAATCGAACATTTCTGCTACTTTGAGCTCAATTTCAAGGTACTTTTCATCATGAAACCAATCAAAATCGTCTCAATTTCTGTAATATGTCTTCCATTCTATAAAATGAGACCAGGGAAACTAAAATACAACCATAAATACCATACGAAAATACACTGCAAATTCGCTGTTTTAAACCAAAAACACTGTCAGAGTTTTTTTTTCTTATGCACTGTGTGCTGCAGGATTTTTTTTATACTGTGCACACTGACCACATAGATCCATTCATTCATATGTAGGCCTACCAGCTTTTTCTCACTAGATTTGAAGGTGCTAGAATTTAGGCATTCTAGTATGTCAATAACCCTGGTGCGTAATCCGTACAAGCACATTGGAAACCCTGAAAGGGTTAATTGAGCTATGTGCTGAAAGAGGTTTGGTAATAAGTAATACATATTTTATGAAAAAGAGGATAAATAAATATACAAGTTATGATGTAGCACGTAATGAAAGTAGTTTGTTAGATTACGTATTGGTGGATAAAAGGTTGATGGGTAGGCTCCAGGATGTGCATGTTTACAGAAGGGCAACTGATATATCGGATCATTATTTAGTTGTAGCTACAGTTAGAGTAAGAGGTACATGGGACAAGAGGAGAATGGCAACAACAAGTAAGAGAGAGTTGAAAGTGTATAAAGTAAGGGAGGAGGAAGTTAGGGTGAGATATAAGCAACTATTGGCAGAAAGGTGGGCTAGTACAAGTATGAGTAGTGAGGGGGGCAGGGTTGAAGAGGGTTAGAATAGTTTTTAAAATGCAGTATTAGAATGTGGGGCAGAAGTTTGTGGTTAAAGGAGGGTGGGTGCAGGAGGAAGGAGGAGTGATTGGTGGAATGATGAAGTAAAGGGTGTGATAAAACAGAAGAAGGTAGCTTATGAGAGGTTTTTACAAAGCAGAAGTGTTATAAGAAGAGTAAAGTATATGGAGAGTAAAAGAAAGGTGAAGAGAGTGGTGAGAGAGTGCAAAAGGAGAGCAGATGATAGAGTGGGAGAGGCACTGTCAAGAAATTTTAATGAAAATAAGAAAAAAATTTGGAGTGAGTTAAGCAAGTTAAGAAAGCCTAGGAAACGAATGGATTTGTCAGTTAAAAACAGAGTAGGGGAGTTAGTTGATGGGGAGCTGGAGGTATTGGGTAGATGGCGAGAATATTTTGAGGAACTTTTAAATGTCGACGACAGGGATGTGGTAATTTCATGCACTGGCCAGGGAGGTATACCGTGTTTTAGTAGTGAAGAAGAGCAGGATGTAAGTGCAGGGGAGGTGTGTGAGGCATTACATGGAATGAAAGGAGGTAAAGCAGCTGGAACTGACGAGATCATGACATAAATGTTGAAAGCAGGGGGAGATATAGTGTTGGAGTGGTTGGTATTTTTGTTTAATAAATGTATGAAAGAGCAGGAAGGTACCTAGGGATTGGTGGAGAGCATGTATAGTCCCTTTATATAAAGGGAAGGGGGACAAATGAGATTGTAAAAGTTATAAAGGAATTAGTTTACTGAGTATACCAGGAAAAGTGTACGGTAGCGTTATTATTGAAAGAATTAGAGGTAAGACAGAATGTAGGATTGTGGATGAACAAGGAGGTTTTAGAGTGGGTAGGGGATGTATAGATCAGGTGTTTACATTGGAGCATCTATGTGAGCAGTATTTAGATAAAGGTAGTGAATTTTTTGTTGCATTTGTGGACTTAGAAAAGGCATATGATAGAGTGGACAGGGAAGCAATGTGGCAGATGTTGCAAGTACAGTGGACCCTCGAGTTTTGTGATTAATCCGTTCCAGAGAGCCCGCCGAAGGTCGAAATTCATGAAACTAGAAACCATTTTCCCCATAAGAAGTAATGGAAATAAAATTAATCCATTCCAGACACCCAAAAATATTAAAATAAAATATTTTTTTTTCAAATTAAATAAAGATTTACATAATGAAAACAATCAGAAATCAAGTACATGCATTTAAAATAAATAATAACATTACACTTACCTTTACTGAAGACTGCTGGGTGGATGGAAGATGGGAGGAGGTGATAGGAGGAAGGTGTACACTATTGTTTGGAAGGAGAATCTCCTTCCATTAGGACTTTAGGTAGCAAGTCCTTATCTGGGGTTACTTCCCTTCTTCTTTTAATGCCATTGGGAACAACTTGAGAGTCACTGGACCCCTGGCACACAAAATATCTATCCAGAGAGGTCTTTTTCTAGCGTTTCTTTAAGATTTCCCTGAAGTGGGACACAACACTGTCATTGTACATGTTGCAGATACAGCTTGTTTCAGCTTGGCCAGGGTGATACTTTTCAACAAAACTTTGCAACTCATTCCACATTCCACACATGTCCTTAATCACTGAAGAAGGCACCTCATCCACTCCCTCTTCCTCCTCCTCTGAAGCAAGTTCCTCGGCTGTGGTCTGATGCTGTTCCAGTTGAAGCTCTTGCAGTTTGTCAGTGGTTAGCTCTTCCCTGTGGTCCTCCACCAACTCTTCCACATCCCTGTCACTCACTTTATTTACCAAAGGGCTTGCACTAGCTTTCCTTGGGTTCATGATGACTTATTTAGCAGTTGCAAGCACAAAAAACAATGGATTATTATGAAATGTATGAACCTGCGGGGTGATGGTCACGTGTTGGTAAACAATGGCACACTGAGTGTGAATGGCGTGGGAGACTGGCTTTGTGTGAGCGGGTGGACGGGTACCGGACGGTCGCCGAAACACGAGTTTTTTCACAAAACTCAAGGCCAAATTTTCCCCCCAAAAAAAAACTCGCCGAAGGTTGAATTTCGCGAAAGTCGAGGCTGCCAAAACTCGGGGGTCCACTGTAAATGGAATAGGTGGTAAGTTACTAAATGCTGTGAAGAGTTTTTATAAGGATAGTGAGGCTCGGGTTAGGGTGTGTAGAAGAGAGGGAGACTACTTCCTGGTAAAATTAGGTCTTAGACAGGGATGTGTAATATCACCATGGTTGTTTAATATATTTATAGATGGGGTTGTAAAATAAGTGAATGCTAGGGTGTTCGGGAGAGGGGTGGGATTAAATTATGGGGAATCAAATACAAAATGGGAATTGACAGTTACATTTTGCTGATGATACTGTGCTCATGGGAGATTCTAAAGAAAAATTGCAAAGGTTAGTGGACGAGTTTGGGAGAGTGTGTAAAGGTAGAAAGTTGAAAGTGAACATAGAAAAGAGTAAGTTGATGAGGGTATCAAATGATTTAGATAAAGAAAAGTCGGATATCATATTGAAGAAGAGGAATATGGAAGAAGTGAATGTTTTTAGATATTTGGGAATTGACGTGTCAGCGGATGGATGTATGAAGAATGAGGTTAATCATAGAATTGATGAAGAAAAAAGGTGAATGGTGCATTGAGGTATATGTGGAGACAAAGAACGTTATCTACGGAGGCAAAGAAGGGAATGTATGAAAGTATAGTGGTACCAACACTCTTATGTGGGTGTGAAGCTTGGGTTGTAAATGTAGCAGCGAGGAGACGGTTGGAGGCAGCGGAGATGTCCTGTCTAAGGGCAATGTGTGGTGTAAATATGCAGAAAATTCAGAGTGTGGAAATTAGGAGAAGGTGTGGAGTTAATAAAAGTATTAGTCAGAGGGCTGAAGAGGGGTTGTTGAGGTGGTTTGGTCATTTAGAGAGAATGGATCAAAGTAGAATGACATGGAAAGTGTATAAATCTATAGGGGAAGGAAGGCGGGGTAGGGGTCGTCCTCAAAAGGGTTGGAGAGAGAGGGTAAAGGAGGTTTTGTGGGTGAGGGGCTTGGACTTCCAGCAAGCGTGCCTGAGCATGTTAGACAGGAGTGAATGGAGACGAATGGTTTTAGGGACCTGGCGAGCTGTTGGAGTGTGAGCAGGGTAATATTTAGTGAAGTGATTCAGGGAAACTGGTTATTTTTATATAGCCGGACTTGAGTTCTGGAAATGGGAAGTATGTACAATGACTGCATTTTAAAGGAGGGGTTTGGGATATTGGCCGTTTGGAGGGATATGTTGTGTGTCTTTATACGTATATGCTTCTAAACTGTTGTATTCTGAGCACCTCTGCTAAAACTGATTATGTGTGAGTGAGGTGAAAGTGTTGAATGATGAAAGTATTTTCTTTTTGGGGATTTATTTTCTTTTTGGGTCACCCTGCCTCGGTGGGAGACGGCCGTCTTGTTGAAAAGAAAATTATTATTATAATAATAATAAAAAAGAAGCACTATACCCACAAGGGTCGTGAATTGCTATATATTGAGTGAAGGCATAAGAAAGGAATATTTATCTACAGTAATTCCCCAGTGTTTGACTAGAGAAAATATAATTCTTCTGACACTCCTGCAAAGCCGCTTTGTAAACAAATCTCATATTTATGCCAAATTTTTATTGTGGGTGTATTTACAGTATAATGTTTATATGCTATGTAATGTGTTTCTTATATAATTGTGAAAATATTATAGATGGATTAATGAAAACATACACATGTATATTAACATAAAATAGGACATCTAATGTGCCCTAGTGAGATTATTATTATACTTTGTATTACTATGACGTCATGAGTAGAGAGACTCTTAGTCATTTTAATGTGTACCTGCATGCCAGTACAGTGTGTAAGTATAATTAGGTACAGGTACACATAAGTATAATTATCAGGGTACATATAAAATACACAGTAACTTTAAAACACTTGAAATTTTGGAAAGTTTCCAGACATAATAGATGTGCTCACAGAGAATGTAAACAAGCTGGATGGGGCATGCCATATTTGAAAGACTGCTTGCCATATAGCAAATTTTGGTCATAATTTGAAATCGCCGCATTCGCGGAACGCCGTAAAGCAGGGCCTTACTGTATATGTGTGTACTCATTTTTTTGTAACTGATATGATGTTAATGCTCTTGTTTATGTTTGCAGGTTGTTTTTCATCCGAAGACCTAACTTGTGAGATACTAGAGGAAGTTATTCAGTACACAATAAGCAAAGCAGAAACTACAATGCCCTTTGGGCTGACATTATTTTACCGTAGTGGTGGTGTGTCTCGGTCGTTACTGCAGCAAGCCATAGTTCAGACAGTGCCGCAGGGTCTAGCAACAACATCGCTAGTGCCAGTCTTGGCTGTGGAAGACAATCATACACTTTTGACTGTAACTGCAACACGCTATTAATTATCCCATGTGTTAGACCGTTAACCGTTGGTGCATTCAATCACGACTTTTGTATTTTATACTGTAACAGTTTGCATGCAAAGGTACTATCATAAGTCATTATGCTTAATGCATTATCTGCCATTGTTATGGTGTAAGCTTGGAACTCAAATTGTGCAACATAACTAAAGTATTTGTTGTAAAACATTATGATTATAAATATCAAATTTAGAACTGCTGTAAAAATTTTATATAAATATATATGAAAACTGTAATTTAATTGTGAGGTTATATACATCAAGTTGATAAATCTGTGATTGTATTCATTTCCCAAGACAGCCTTTCTTGGTGTATAATGTAGTTATATGAATTAAGGAAGGTGATGATACTATATTTTTTTATGAAGATAGGATGGCTTACCTAGAATCAGGTTAAATTATCGGAAACATTACTTACTAAACTAACAGTGCTTTGAATTTGCTGAATTCATATATTAACATGTTTTTACCAGAATGTCTCTCAACACTTTCAGGGTCCTGACCCCCGATCTGAAACTTGTCCACAGGGTCCAAGAATGAAAAAAAAAAAGTTATTTTTTAACCCCTTCAGGGTCCAAGGCCAAAATCTGAAGTGGTGCTCCAGTGTCCAAGAAATTTTGAAAAAAAAAAAATTGTTTTTTCTTATAGAATTAAAGAGTATATTTTTGTGAAGGTAATAAGGCAAAACAAAAAAAAATTCTGATCAGTACTTACCGAGATACAGTGGCGGGAAGTTGACCCAAAATGACCGGGTGGCGGCAACATCAGTGACTTCCGCAAAATCCCATTTTTTTATTTTACGTTTTTTATACTTTTTTCTTTCCTTTTCTAATTTTTTTCTTTTTCTAGTAACATTTGTGGCCTGTGAGACCAGTATAATGTATATTGTATAAGTGTACACTCATTGTATTCAACATGATAACTGCACTAATTTGTTTATCATTATATTGCTTACAAAACTTGTTTACAAGTTTATTGTAAACAAAATGATCAAAATATTAGTGCGGTACCATATAGTACCATATGGTACAATGGTGCCATAGGGTGCAATGGTACCATATGGTACAATGGCACCATATGATACAATGGTACCATATGGTACAATGGTGCCATAGGGTGCAGTGGTACCATATGGTACAGTTGTGCCATATGGTACAATGGTACCATATGGTACAATATGGTACAATGGCACATGATACAATGGTACCACATGATACAGTGGCACCATATGGTACAATGGCATCATTTGGTAAAATGGTACCATATGATACAATGGTACCATATGATACAATGGTACCATATGGTACAATGGCACCATATGATACAATGGTACCATATGGTACAATGGTGCCATAGGGTGCAGTGGTACCATATGGTACAGTTGTGCCATATGGTACAATGGTACCATATGGTACAATATGGTACAATGGCACATGATACAATGGTACCACATGATACAGTGGCACCATATGGTACAATGGCATCATTTGGTAAAATGGTACCATATGATACAATGGTACCATATGATACAATGGTACCATATGGTGCAATGGTACCTTATGGTACCATATGGTGTAATGGTACCATATGATGCAATGGTACCATATGGTACATTGTACCATACAGTACAATAATACCATATGGTTCATTGTACTGTATGGTACTACATGGTACTGTTGTATTCACCACAATAAACACACTAATATTTTCATTATTATTTTGTTTACAAAAGTTGTTTACAACAAAAATATGCAAAAATATTGTATATTAGTAATGTTCTATTATATATTTACAAGTGTACAGGAACTTGACGTGTTCCTTGAGGTGGATGACAAAGCACTTTGTCTCGAAACTGCGGAGTCAGTAGCTAGCTTGCGTCGCCACTCACTCAGTCTTGGCTGGTGTCTCATGCCACCAACACCTATTGACCATATGGTACACCATATGTTACAGGGTACCATATGGTACATTGTACTATATGGTATAGGGTACCATGCAGTACAGGATAACATATGGTGCAGGGTACCATATGGTACAGGGTACCATATGGTACAGGGTACCATATGGTACAGGGTACCATATGGTACAGGGTACCATATGGCACAGGGCACCATATGGTACAGGGTACCATACAGCACAGGACACCATATGGTACAGATACAGGGATAACTATGGAAATAAGTCACCCTGACTTTTTTGGGTTATCCTAGGATTTTATACGTATGCTGCTATGTATGATAATCTATGTAATTGTATTTCTGTACACCTGAATAAACTTACTCAAGTGCATGTGGCATCATAAGTAAGTTTATTTAGTTATACACAAATAAAGTTACATAGAATATCATACTTAGCAGCATATGTTCGGAGAACCTAGGATAACCCAAAAAAAGTAAGACTGACTTATTTCCATTAGGGTCCCTGTAGCCTGTACCATATTGTATAATGTACCATATGGTACAATGTACTATATGGTACATTGTACCATATGGTACCATTGTACCATATACTATTGTACCATATACCATTGTATGACATGGTACCATTGTACCATATGGCACAATGGTACCATATGGTTCAAAACCATAGAATTCGTCTTCAGCTCCACTTCCATCAGTCTTAGAACTGTAAGTTGTAAAGAGGAGAGTCAGAATTCGCCCGGAGAGTGAGTGGGGAGTGAGAGCTTCCTTGCCGCCAGGCACAATGAGCAAAGCTACTTTGCCGGCGTTCCCACAATGCCATGCGGGCATCCAGATTTTTTCTATGGTGTGCACACTGACCACCCAGACCCATTCTCTCAGATGTAGGCCTACCAGCCTTCTCGCACTAAATTTGACGTCGCTAGAATTTTGGCGTAGATCTACGGTTTGGACCCTGAACGTAAAGCCGTAGATCTATGGGACGGACCCTGAAAGGATTAAGAAATGGTAGAGAATCTTTTTCTGAAGGTAATAAAACAAAAAGTATGAAATTTGATGGAAAATTTATGAAATTACGCTCTCGCAAATTTTGCTGCGTCAGCAATATTTATGCATCAGCAATTTTGCACACTTTGATTCCCATTTTAGGCCAAATACTTTATTCCAGTCAACCAAATTCCTAGCTATTTCACTAGTATAAATTATATTTTATCGAATGAGCACAAGAAATTGCCCAGTCAACTATTTCAAATACCCAGTAAAGTGATCAGAAATCAGTAATTTGACCAATTTCACACAATGTTCAAAATATTCCAATTTCAAAATAAGGTTCAGAATAAATTACAATGCAGGCATTCCTGGCACTAAAATAACATTTCCTTTATTTATTAGTTATGTTTCCAGGCTTTACAGATGAATTCCACTTAGATTTTTTATTCTCATAATGAATTTTTATTCATGCCAAAAAACAGAAGATTTACTGTTATACAGTATTTTAATAACTGTATAAATAATATCAGTGCATTCATGAATGAACATTAGACCCGCTAGCTGAAGTGTATTGGATGTGCGATGTCATTTGTTTACTCTTGAACATTGGCAATAAATGAACATTTATACTACTTTGAGCTCAATTTCAAGCCATTTTCAGTATTAAACCCAATGAAAATCATCTCTACTTCTGTAATAAATCTTCCATTCTATCAAGTAAGACCAAGAAACCGTGAATACAACCGTAAAAAACATTGGAAAATACACTGCAAATTTTCTGTTTTAATAAAAAAAATTCTCTGTTTCTCATTATGTACTGCATGCTCCAGGATTTGTTTTATATGGTGCATACTTACCATAAAGATGCATTCTCTCATATCTAGGCCCAGATTTACTGCTCATGCTTATCTAAGTGAGCTAAGCTCATGGCGTAGAACTGCGGCTTGGACCCTGGCTTCTAAGCCGTAGAACTACAGGATGGACCCTCAAAGGGTTAAATTATTTTGAACATTCACAAGAACAGATTATCTTTTATATTTCATCTTATGTACAAATTATAACATTTTGCAGGTTTGATTCATTTATTATTTTAACCCTTTCAGGGTCGGCAGGACCTCTCCCAAACCTCTTCTCAGGGTCGGTAAAAATTTGAAAAAAAAAAATTCTTATGAAAAGATAGTTTTCTTTTTTTTTTTTTTTTAGGCTAAACAAAAATTTTTTACCATCAATACTTACCGAGATATGGAGGCGTGAAGTTGACAGAAAATGACCAGCATACGGTAACATTGCCAACTGCCGGTGACCCGGTATTACTTTATTTTCTTTTTTAGGTACTATTTTCTATTATTTTTTAATTTTTTTTTTCCAAATAGCTTTTATGGCATGTGAGACCAATATGAGCACTATACCTTTGATATACCTTTGAAGAATTTCGAGAGTATATCTACTCTCTGAGCTCGGCCATGGGCCAGGCTCATCTGGTGCTCACCTGGTCAACCAGGCTGTTGCTGCTGGAGGCCTGCTGCCCCACATATCCATCACAGCCTGGTTGATCTGGCACCTGGTGAAGATACTTATCTAGTTTCCTCTTGAAGGCTTCAACACTTGTTCCAGCAGTGTTTCTTATATCTTCTGGTAAGATGTTGAAAAGTCTGGGACCCCGGATGTTGATACAGTGTTCCCTTATTGTCCCCACCGCACCCCTGCTCCTCACTGGGTTTATTTTACACTTCCTCCCATATCTCTCACTCCAGTATGTTGTTATGGCAGTGTACAGATTTGGGACCAAGCCCTTGAGTACCTTCCAGGTATATATTATCATGTACCTCTCTCTCCTCCACTCCAATGAGTACATGTTCAAGACTTGCAGGCATTCCCAGTAGTTTAGGTGCTTTACTGGCTCATTGTGAGCCGTAAATGATCTCTGTATTTGTTCCAGCTCCGATATTTCTCCTGCCCTGAACGGGGCCGTCAGCACTGAGCAATATTCTAAGTGAGGGAGCACAAGCGATTTCAGAGTGTCACCATGTGTATTGTTTTCCTTGTTTTGAAAGTTCTCAATACCCACCCAGTCATCTTCCTGGCTGTCGTGATCTTTGTCTTGTTATGGTCTTTAAAAGAAAGGTCCCCTGACATAATTATTCCTAGGTCTTTTACGTGTTCCCTACGTTTTATTTGGTGACCCTCTTGAGTTTTGTATATAGTGCTCCTTTTGAGTTCTTCATTCTTTCCATACCTAAGCAGCTGGAACTTATCACCACTGAATGTCATGTTGTTTTCCACTGCCCACTGGTAAACCCTGTTCATGTCTTCCTGTACTTTTACAGTGTCCTTTACTGTACTGACTTTCATGCTTATTGGCAAT